TCAATTGATGAGTACAAATCACGTTTATTTTAATTTCTATTTATTTTATCGTTGGTATACTTTAAAATGCTTTTACTATTTTCTCTAGTGCTATTGAATTGTTTTATTTCATCTTTGATTTGTTCTAAATTATCTTATGTAATATTTTCTCATATTTTTTATACTTTAGTTCAAAAGTTAAATTGTGTCGTGCTCTTCTCCATGTTACATGTAAAAATTCTTTATTTTTACACGAAATAATTATACATTTAATGATCCAGGATTTATATTGTCCTATCTTTTTTGCATCTTGAGTAATACTAGGTGTTGCAAGAGCAACAATATTTTTTTATTATACTAATGACAAGATTACAGGCTGTATCAGCATCGTTCTCCATCGCAATAATATTCTAGTCAATATTTCTAGAAAAGTGTCTTGGTAACCTTATTATATAAGGAAATATATTTATGCTGTAAGGTATCAAATGATAAGTTCATCGTATCATGGTTCTATTTTAACAAATCTATGTTGAAATCATCTACAATAAAATGATTTATAATGCTTTCATTCAAAACGAGGTATTTAATGAAGTTGTTTATGAAGATTTTTTTATCATAATTGTAACTATAAATATCGGTCATCTTGAATCTATCATTATCTTCAAGAAAGATTTCATAACTTAGTGCGTTCAACAAATCACTCAGCTTATAGATAACATTATAATCCAATATATCATTAACAAATAGCACAACGCTATCAGCTTTATTTAAGTTATCATAATTATAGTAGTCCTTGTAATTATTTATTTTGATGAATTCATAATACGTATTCTATATTTTATATCTTGGTATAAACAATCACGTGTGATTTTAGCTAGCGGGTTACTGGTGAAATTTCAACCTAAACTTTAGTAAATCATAGGACGTTCGTCGGGTAGCGACTTGGGAGTGTATCAGTGCGCGGCGAGCAGTTTTATGCAGCCCGTACCAGTACAATTACCCGGCCCTAGGACCGACAGAGACCAGGGAAGATCTGGCGGGAATATGCAGGTCACTCAACGTCAGAATAGCCCAAGGAACGGATGAGATAGAGCTGTTTTTCAGGGTCAATGCTATGACTGCAAGGGAGAGGGCCATAGAATCTCGGAGTGCTCTAGTTCTGACCGAGGACAAACTGACCAGACGCAGGGGAACCCAATTTGTTTCCGGTGTCGTCAACCGGGACATTATGCTCCGGGTTGTCCTCTGGGTCGGTCGAGAGAGTCATTCCAGAACTGCCAGGCGCCGAACTGTACGTTCCGCACCTGTGCGAACTGCGTGCCGATTCGTAGGTTGGCTAAAAACCGGTCCACAGGGAGTGGAAGTCCAACGCTCTCAACGATAGCTCGCAGCGGGCTGCAGGGTTCGGGCACGACGAGCTCGACCTAAGGGTGTGAGCTCAGAAAACGCATGAGATGGTTCGGAGAGCCATAGGCTACACCCGTGTGAGGCAGTGCCCGCGAGCGGTTTCTCGCAGTGGGTTGCCTATTAAGGGAGGTGCCGGGCCGGTTCGAAGAAGTGGCGTTTCTCTTTTGGGTCGTTGTTTTTGTGTTGTAAGTTCGTTTGGTTTTGGTTCTGGGTTTTTCTTTTTGGTTTTTGGTTTAGTTTATTTTGTTTTATCGCTACCAGAGAACTCACTCGTGGCCAACGAAAAGGCCCAGCCATGGCGAGGCGCCCGGATGGCGAGAGCGGGAGACAGCCCCCGATCCTTTGGTATAAAAAAAGTCTGGAAAGAGGATTTAAAAGAGTAAATATTATACTTTAAGGTAGTATTTCCAGTTTGGAAAAAAATAATTTATCCAAGGTGTGACGTAACCTCAAAGATAGCCAAAAATAGTGTATTTAGCACTTTTAGGTTAGGATATCTCGAGAACCACAGGTGATAAACGAATTCTGATGCCGAATTTGGATTCAACGTATCAAAAGCCTTGGGGTACACCTAGTCACGTGTCTGGGTTTTTTGGTTGTCGGCCTGTGTTATCGTTACCAAGACTATTATTACTATGTTTATCGTCAGAATTCAATGCTGGATTCTTATCAGACTTATTAGAAACCAACTGATAATTAGAATCCATTTTAAAATCATAATCAAGTTCGTTATCATCAGAATACAAATTTAAGCTGAAGAAGAATTGAAAATTTATATAAAACTGTAACGGAGAATCTCGGCTAGGCCGATTTCGTCCGTCTGGCTCTCACAAATATCCGTGCGCCCCGCCAAGCTGAGAGTGTGTGCGTGTGGTACGCACACTCGTGCTTGGTTTCTGTTTACGAGGTGCTGTACATGGACTGAGCTAACGGCTGGAGTGATAGAGATGGCACAGAAGAAGAAGAAGAAGAAGAAGAGAGAGAGAGAGCGCTCGAATCGCGGAAAATTCGAGAGAGTCAACCTCGTCGACGATTGTTCGTTTTCGGAGACACGCCCGGTGCGCGGACGAGTATTTGAGTGTGAGGCTGGATCACGCCCAGCCATGTCCCGAAGGATACCAGGCACCGGTACGTGTGGGTAACTGACGAGGTGCACGGGTGCGCGCGCGAATAGTTTCAACGTTGCTGCAGCACCAAGCAACTGAGAGGCGGCGGAAGCAACGACAACAGCAATCATAAGCAGAAAGCGGAACAACGGATTGAGGCAGCATTATTGTGGAGCGAGCGAGAGGACGAGCAAGAAGATAAACAGCTACGACAACAAACACCAGCAAGACGGTCAGCGAGAAGGAGCGCACCAGTGACGTCACACTGCTGAGTGTTCCAGTCGTCGAAGAGGCTGAAGGTCAAGGTCGGTGCCGTGTTTTTCTTTTGTTTCTCTCTCTCTCTCTCGTGCATTTTTGGGCGCCAGCTTATGGGTGGTAGCACGGCAGACCTGCTGGCTACCCGGTCGATAAATTAACGGCGGAAAGTGTTTTGTCGAGCATTTATTGTAACAATTAGTTTTAAACAGGGAATTGGCAGGCTGATCAGCCACTGATTTACCTTCGCGTTCGGATTTATTATTGTGCCGCTCGTAGTGTATAAGCGCGAGATCGCCGCCTTGTAGCCTATTTTGACGATTAAATGATTAGTGTGTTAATCCGCTATTGTGTTTATTCGTCGCTGTATCACTCCTCATCCCGACTTCAAATCTGGGCGTTTAACGTGTTTATGCTCGACGCGTTATTCAGTCGTGGGAACGTCTTTTGCTTCCCAAATCCCCGAATAAATAATTTATGCGGACGGCCGCGAGCTACCCGGACGGGAACGGTCGCTAATTCTCCGTTACAAAACTAAAGAAAAATTGAAAATGTATATAAAACTAAATTAGAAACACAATCGTAAATCAAAGTTTTATATATTTTTTTCACAATAGCGCGACATTCATTTAAAATCATTGAGGTAGATTCATCAACAGCAGTTTCTATAAGTTGCACATTTTTTTGGGAAACTTCTGAAAATTTACAAATCGAAATAAGAATCATTCCCTTCTTTCCATTATTACAAAATTTATCATTGAAGAATCATGGACATTATTCAGATAATATGTTATTAGGTAAATAGTTCGTTACTCATGGTCTAGGCATTTCAAATATTTTCGCCAAACTTTCCTTTCTCTGTCTTTTCCTCTTTTTTTGTTTTTGGTAACTTCTTTCTAGGTCTATGTTTGATTCTCAACCTTTCTCATAATTCCAATATTCTATAGATGATATCAATAATGATCTTTCTTATATAAAACAATCATCTAGCGCCGGTCCTTATGATATTCCTTAAATCTTCATCTATAATTGCCAAGATAGCTTAACTTTATATTTACTCATGCTTTTTAATCTATCTCTTCACCTTGGTTCCTTTTCATCAATGTGGAAAAAAGCCTATAGCATCCCTGTTGTTAAGGAGGTTCTCCAGCAAACTCGAAAGTCCTAACACATCAATGAATTTGAAATAATATGGTAGCTGACATGATTATAAGAGTGTAGAAAAAAACATTTGGTCTTGTTATCGGTCATTTTTTAAAGTTATACCAATTTAAAAATTTTCAAGATCATGGGTAGACCGAGCTCATGAAAATATTTTTAACTTCAATTTGACGGAGATTTTCGGAATAAAATTGATCAACGCTGGATTACAAAAGTTTAGAGTATATTAGAAAAAAAAATCAGCTTTGTTTATCAAGTATTTTAAGAGAAAAAACCATTTTTTATTACCTATCCACTCATTTTATCAGTCATCATTCCTAAACAATGGCATATTAACATCATTTATAGAACTACCATAGCCATGAGCTTCAGGCAGGATGAAGCTTAGATATTTAACTATCGATCTGTGTTTAAATATTATCACCTTATCGATCTTTTGGAAAAGATATTAATTGAAAACCAAACAAAAAAATATTCATTTTTTGTTAAATCAGCTCCACTATGTAAGTTTGGCAATGTTGCACCAACTGATGGCTGTAGCTACTACTGCGCATGCTCGTGCGCGCATGCTATAAATTTGAAATTTTCTGACAGTGTGAAAAGACAATTATAGCAATGGCTTTTATGACATGCTCAAACATTGAAATTTTCTACCTACGATTGCTTATGAATAACCTACAATTTATATTTATTTTAATAAAATAATGAAGGTAGCTTCCTTTCACAAGCTACAAATTTTATTTTGCACTTTCAACGTTCAACACATTTTGTTTTTATACTTATGTACATATATCTGGTATAATTTTTTTTCTGTGAACGTCTCTGATCTTAAATGAATAAATAAATAAATACAGTTACAGACTAGTATGCATTGAAAAAAAACAAACGATTTTGTATGGTATTTTCTGTACGATTTAAATATAGAATAATAAATGAAATTACTCACACTATAATTGACTTGCATGAGCAAAGAAAACTTATTTTGTATAAATATATATCTAATAATAATTCGAGTTTTACAATACAAATCACGTCTAAATTTCTAATTTAAAAAAGTTAGACTTATGAACGTTTAATCGTGAACCATCATTGTTAATTGTATGAAGTGCTGATTGCCTTTGTCAGTATCGCAATACTTTTTTTATGTTTTGTCACTCGAGGTCTACCTCTTACGTCCTCACTAAGCAGCATCTCTATTCCTTTTGGGCCTTTAGTTTTGTAAACGTCAATTATTAGACTACGGTTGATACCCGCTTTTGCTATTCGCGATAACATATTGGTGGAAACACAATTTTTTAAAAATTCCAAAGATATTTTGTTTGATGTATGAACGTTTTTTAACGCTTCGTTGCGTATAAAGTCTGTTATGTTTTGAGTGTGATTATAAATAGTTAGATGATCGATTTTTATGGCGCTGATGAGTTTCTGTAAAATGTCAACGTCTGCAAGAGCATTATGAGCTCCTTCTGCACTCTCTTGACCTAGATATTCTACTGCAAGTGTTGTCTGAGAAAAGGATTTTTTTGCTTTTCTGCGTTCTGGTAGAATATTTCTAAAAATATTCAGAGTATCACTAAACCCAGTAACAATAGTCTTAAACTCATCGAGCAAATTTAATCTTGATAGATTGCGCAGCATCAGTGGGAAGTCAAATCTGCGTTGTTTTTACATGCTATTTTATATACGTAATGTCGTGTGTATACATTGACAATTAGCAATCCTTGAAAAAATTACATACTTGTAACCATTATGAGCCATAAGGATAACTTGATCACCTTGTGTGTCTAAAAAAGATAAAAAATCTTCCATTGCGACTCGAAGTGAAACGGTTTTTAATAATGTATCACCGAAAAACATTTCACCGCCGACAATATGAAGATTTGTCACATCAGTGATACGTTTTGATATGCCTCTGGAGGGAAGAATGTCCAATTTGTGCAGCAAGCAGCTATCTAAAAATTAATTTTAAAACCACCGAATAGTATTCCCATAATTAATAATATTGCAATTTTCATGTTTTCGTTTTTTTACTTGTGTAATTTCTGCATTTTTACTTAGTCCGGTTGTTTCCAAATCAAAATAAACAAACACTGCTGTAGTATAATCTACTTTATCTATAAATGGAAACGTGCTAATTAATAAATACGTATATTTTCCAATGCAAGCATTATTTTTACTGAGAATTAATAATAAAGTATTACTTGTTTTCATTTCATTGTCAAGCAATTCGGGTAAAGTTTCAGCGGAACAATCAGACTCATGCGTAATGCCTTCTTTCCGCTCTGCTCCAGCATCCTTACTAGATCTTATTCTCTTCAGCTCGACTCTTTTTCGTTTTTTCTGGATAGTTGATGCTTCAACTGCTTTTCGCTTCCGTTTCTGATCTTTAGTTTGTCGATATTGCATGGCAAAATGACCTGGAGGTAGACCCAATTTCAAATTTACATGTACAACGTAAACCGTACCAAGATTCCATTGACATACTGCAGCCGCTACTCGAACAACAAAAGATTCAGATCCAGCATAATGTCTATGTTTAGGATGTTTACTGGCAACGACATTGTTGAAAGATTCGTTGCCTTGTGTTGAACCGCAAGGAGCTAACTTGTGAGCATCATTAGAAAATTTACTAAAAATTTCAGATAGCTTAACACGTAAATTAATATCTGCCAATGGTTTTCCGTGAGGTAAATTTACATGTACGTATTTCTCTCCAAGTTCAGAATATTTGCACCATTTACCACACTGATTGTGTTCTCCAAACGCGTGGGGAACAATGCTTAATAAAGCTGCTCGTACACCATCGGCATTACTTCGGTTTTGCTGGATTGCTATAGAGAAACAGTTGGAAAAGTAGTCTTGTACTTTTTGCGACATCTTCAATGGAATCAACTTTTTAGTTAAATTTTTCTTCGCGTGATTCATATCGGACCACTTTTCTATGAATTCTTCTGCTTCTCTACGTAAAGCACAAATTGTCGATGAATCGTCATCCATAATGAGTACTGAAATCATCGCATTGTATTTGTTTAAAAGAGAATTGTCGATTATCAGTTCTTTAGCCATGTCGGCTTCCATCGATTTAGAACTTTTATTGTAATTCAAACGACAATCGTGATCTGTCGGGTTTCGCTCACGCGCACATTTGGCACATTTTTTGGTTCGTCCAGCTCGGCCTATCATTTTACCTGACTGTCTCGCTCTCATTGAAGTGTGACCTATGAAAATAGGATGCTCAAAATTAAAAAATGAAAATTTATACCTGAATAAAAGATCATCATGGTTTGGAATAATATTAATTTTCTCATGAATTTGAAATAGTGACCGTCGATAAATACACCCTATATATCATTGTAGAATTAATAAATCAAATAATGATAAATGCTTAAAAACATCTGCAATTTTAATTATCGCGAAAAATACTTTATACAAGAACGAACTCGTACACCAGTTACTCGATAATTTTTTTTTAAATTACAGTGATGCAACGAAAATTATACGATTGTAAAAAGGGAAGTATCATATCATTGTTAAACATCATCACGTAATATTCAACAAACCAGACGAGCTGTTATATGAACGTCCAGTTCCGCGCCTTTGCCAACCATTGTCTAAGCCACCGATTAATCTATGCTTGCTACATTTTGAATTCGGTTTGCTTGTTTTTGTACTCGAAGTCGACGTAGTATTCTCTTTAGGGGAAGTTCCAGGCTCTTGCTTATTTTTCAAACTTGATGTTGGAGAAGGTAAATTGGGTTCATTAGAGGAAGGTTCTTTGGCATTTTGAATTCTGAAAACATACACATACGGTACACGCATATGCATTCACAAACATTTCCATTACGAAAAAAAGATTTGTGTTAAATAAACATAAAATGGTATGAGAATAGAATAAAATATATGGAATTGTATGAACAAAATACGACTGATGAAATGATATAAAAAAGTGAAGGTTCAAAAATAAATGATGGCTTGATGAAATCAATTAAAACAGAAAGTTACAAAAACAGTAGATAGTAGCTCACAGTCACTTCCATGTGCACAATAAATAAGCACGACAACTTGTATTATTGTAAAGCGATTGTATTGAATTTTTTTTTAACAGTAATTTTCTCTCCAAAATAAACTTACTTAAACTAATCAAATTATTTCTAGGTATTTTCTTATAAATAAAAGTATACTAAACAATTTATTTTTGTTTAAAAATCGTCGAAAATAAATTAATTCACATAGACTTAAAACAGGAGGTTCATGTTTTTAAAAATTATTTTAAAAAATTTGAGAAACCTAGACCCAGGCATGAAGATTTTAGAATTTTTTTACCAGAAACCAAATTTTAAGTACTTATGAATGTATAAATATTATATAACATATTTATATAATATGTAATATGTAAAGTGTACAGAGAACCTCCTGTTTCATAATAATAGAAATCAAAATAAAATCAATACTCTTTGGAATTTTCATCACTGGTGAGGGCAATTTCCTCAACTAATGCTTCTTCGCAGCTTTGGTCAGCGACTGATTCAATTGCACTGCCTACAATTCTTTCATAAGACTTTAATGTACTTGGCGATACTGATGGCATATCTAATTCAGTTAGCAAGTGTTTACATTGGTTTCACCCATCCCTGCATCATACATACCTTAAAAGGCAATATGCAAATTAATCAATACATAATACAATTATTATATTTCAGATTCACAATACCGTACCAACAGCTAACAACATATTAACATGATTCAACGCTTATTCATCAAATTGTTGAAACTTATAACATGTAAAATATATTTGTACATGTGAATTTCTTATAAACATTAAATACTACCTTGATATCTTTCAATCTTTCAAATTCACAATTTCTGTCGTTTCTTTCATTGCTTGCGTCGCCAGCGTCTACCTCGTCAGTCTGCAAAATAGTTTTTAAGAATAATCAGTTACCATAAAAATACTGAATCATATCTTCAAGCTTTCGGCGAAAAGCTAACCTGTAACTGCTCTCCACTGCTACCACTGTTTTCTTTCCGCTTTTTAGCGTCAACGTTGGCTTTGATACTGTTTTCCACTCGGTCTTTCACTTTTTGTTTAACAAATTTTCCCTTCAATCTCCCTCATAAACATATAAACGGTTTGTTTATTTTGTACTCGGCAAAGCTTCTACTGCAATAGCAGTAGGTAGTGGGCTCGCAGTGATGCCCCGCACTTGATTTGCAAGTGCGGTGTTGCCACATTTACAATTTTACAAAAATTAAAATTTTTTTGTTATTTTTTATTTGAGTGTTCGGCATAGATTTTTATGATTATATCGTGAATATTACATCATAACTAATATAGTTTGACCCTTTTCTACTGTTATAGTACAAGATTTGTGAAAATATGATAGGCCCATCTGAAGCACCCAAATTTTTCGGCCCTGAGCTGAAGAACCTCCTTAAGAAACGTAGTGATAAACTTAATATTTTTTATTATCATCCTATAGACAAAAAAATGTACTCTCTAAATTTTGTGATCACCTATTTTCAGTTAAATTATTACCTTTTCTTCTCCGCGTTATTGATCTTTCACAACATGGCTTTGTACTAAATCGTACTACCATCACCAATCTCGCTGAGTTATTGAATTTATAGTTCATGCACTTGATTCAGATTTTCAAGATGATACAGTATACACTAAGAAATGCTTTTAACTTTTATCGACCACTTTTTTTGCTATCAAACCGTCGTACTATGGTAAAAATGGTCCTTTACTTTCATGGTGTTCATCCTATTTAACTGATCGTATATATTCTGTAGATTTTGAACAATTCATTCCATATCCGCAATCTTCATTGTTCGATGTACCTCGAGGTTTTCATCTTAGATCTTTATTTTTTATAATTTTTATTAAGCCGTTTTTCGTCCATTTTGCCGCTACTCTTCAAGCCTGAAGGAGTGATTGTGTTAGATTTCTCTCGTAATTTCGCTCGTCGAGTCATCAGCAGAAATTCGTAAGTAGGCAAAGTGCCACTGACTAACAGTAATTGTTGAGTGCGGGCGTGAATTTTCTCGGGCTAATAGATCGTCGCGACGCGTGGATTCGTCGACGTCGATATTTTAGTGCTTCAGGTAATTCGCGCTGACAATTTCGCCATTTCTTCGAATTGACGTGAGTGGTAAAATTTAACTGAAAAGTATCGCGCTGACCTTTCGTTATTTCCCCGAATTAAGTATAAGTGCTAGACTTAAGCGAAAAGTATTTTAGTGCTTTAATTAATTCGCGCTGACCATTCGTCCGTTTATTCGAATTTAACGTGAGTGTTAAAATCAAACGGAGACAATTCTAGTGCTTCAGTTAAGTCGCGCTGATCATTCGTCCGTTTATTCGAATTTAACGTGAGTGTTAAAATCAAACGGAGACAATTCTAGTGCTTCAGTTAAGTCGCGCTGACCTTTCGCCGTTTCTTCAAATTTGTCGTGAGTGCTAGGAGAGAGTAACAGGATTTAGATAGTGGACTAGGTATTCCCGGTTTCCAAGTCAGGAATCGGAAGAATAGACCGTCGCATATTTAATTCGCCGGGACGTGTAAATCCGTACCACTGCGTATTGAGTTGTGTCGAATTACACTGACTATCCGCTAATTAGATTGCCTTTCGGTTCCGACATTAAATAACATACGCGCGAATTCGAACGAATCTCCGACTCGAGGTAAAGAGTCATAACCTGAGCTGCCGGTATTTTACGGACACGAGAGGACGGAAGGAATCAAATTGTTAGACACTAACGGTGTAACAGAGAATCTCAGTCGTCCTTCTTCGGATGGCTCGCGACTGCCCGTACAGATTATTTATTCGGGGATTCGGGAAGCAAAAATCGTTCCCACGGCTGAATAACGCGTCGAGCACACGCGCTAATCGTACGCGGATTGTTACACGGGATCAGGAGTGACTGTGAGGGTAATAAATGAGGCCAAGTTTGAATCAATAGTAATCTTTAATAATAGTGGCGATGAAATGATAAATAATGGAACTTAATCGCGGACAAATCAATCAAAACAAAAGGAAATTAAACGGAATATAAAATAATCGGAGAATACAAATCAAAGAAAAATACAAAATAAAATAAACTACAAAATAGTAGGAAATATGCAAAACAGTAGAAAATACAAAATAAAGAGAAATTACAAAATAAAAGAAAATTACGCTCGCATACAAAACGACAACCGCCCGAACAAAACAAAGCGCGACCTCGCAATCGGCAGAGCTGCCGAACTGCGAGGTGTTTATGCGACGCCTCGGATAGAGAGAGAGAGAAGGAGAAAACACCACACCGACCTTGCCTCGAGTCGACTCCGTATATCTATCGGCGACCTTTGTCCTCGTTGAAGGCGGAATGCTCTAGAAAAGGCAAAACGGATGTCTAGGTAACAGGTCTTCTTCTGCTTCTCAAATCTTTTCCCGATCGAGGCCGGGCGATGTTGTTATTGTGTTATTATTATCGTTGTTATTCCTGTTATCGTTGTTATTAGTATTGTCGTTGTTATTCCTGTTATTGTTGTTGATATTATCGTTGTTATTGCTGTGGTGGACGTTGATGTGTTGGTGTGTTGGAGTGTTGGTGTGTTAGAGAGTCCTGAGCGTATGTGTGTGTAGCCGGCCGTTGTTAAATGTGTGCTTGTGCAGGTCTGCGTTGGCCCGTGTCTCGTCTCGTGCCCAGGATCGGCGAGAAATTTGCGCTCACCGTAATTCACCAAGATGGCCGCACGCGCGCACACTCCCGCGTTACCTCGCCGGTCGCCCACGTGCACCGGTGCCGGCTCCGCTACCTCCGCTGGCAAATATTTGAACAGACAACGCTCCGCGCACCGGGCACGTATCCCCAAAAACCACAAGTCTTCAGCGAGGACGCGGGGGCTCACAAACCACAAACGAAGCCAGGAAAACCAAAAGAAAATGTGTGCGCGCGGCGAACCGTACGGCTGCTCAACGGGTACTGCCTCCACTCCTCTTCACGCCAGCGAGATACGCGCGCAGATCTGCTCACGCCTCCCTGGCTTTCGCCTATCTTCCTGTTCTCTCTCTCTCTCTCTCTCTCTTTCTCGCTGTGCTCTCCACGTCGGCTCCCTCCGATCGCTGCCGTCGCCGTCGCACCTCAAAAGAAAAGAACAAAAAAAAGAAGACGGAGCGATTAGAGTGTGCTCAACCAGCGCACACTCTTAGCTCAGCAAGGCGTACGGGGAATCAGTGAGAGCCCAGCGGAGAGCAACGGTCGAGCAGTAATTCTCCGTCACAACGGCCTGAGTCCAAGGAAATCACGGGTCAACGTACACCCGCCCACTCTGCGCAGTCGCACCGTGGACGAAAATAAATACGCCACGATATCCTGGCCCTATCCCCGACGATCGCCTTAATTAGGTACGGTGGTCTGGCGCCCTAATAATTATTCAGGGAAAAGGGCCAATCTACTTTTTTGCAATATTCCTAGATCCTAGGGACAAAGCTGTCCTGAAACATACATTGCTTTTCTACTAGAATATAAATTTATGTAAAAATATTTTAATTGTAATTTGTAGCTGAAGAGGAGCGTACAAAGAAACTCTTAAAATGTTTAAATAAAATTCATGATAGTGATGATGATTACACGTAGAGAGTTATAGTGATTTTTGACAAGAGAAAAAATTATTAATTATTTAAAAATACGAGGTGTGTTCAATGAGTAAGGTAACTTTGTATTTTTAAGAAAAAATATTTATTTATTTAACAATATTTATGTTGTCCCCTTCAAAGTAATCCCCCTCAGATACAATACACTTATGCCAACGGTTTTTCCAATCCTCAAAGCACTTCTCATAAGCACTTTTCAGTATAGCCTTGAGCTCTTCCAGCGATGCAGTCTTTATCTCTTCAATCGTTGCAAATCTCCGTCCTTTCATAGGTCTCTTTAGTTTTGGGAACAAGAAAAAGTCACATGGGGCCAAATCCGGTGAATATGGTGGCTGAGGCATGATTGTGGTGTTGTTTTTGGCCAAAAAATCTCTCACAAGCAAAGATGAGTGAGCAGGGACATTATCGTGATGCAAAAGCCATGAATTGTTTTTCCACAATTCTAGGCGTTTTCTTCGTATTGCTTCTCGCAAACGGCGCATAACTTCAAGATAATACTGTTTATTGACCGTACGTCCATATGGTAAGAACTCCTGATGCACCACGCCATGGTAATCGAAGAAAACAGTGAGCAAAACTTTGACATTTGATCGAACTTGGCGTGCTTTTTTCGGTCTTGGCTCATCTGGGCTCTTCCATTGGGACGATTGGACTTTGGTTTCGATATCATAACCATATACCCATGATTCGTCACCAGTTTTGACCCTTTTGAGTAAACTGGGTCGTCGTTGACGTCATTCAACAGTTCTTGAGCGATGCTCATGCGACGGTTCTTTTGGTCAAAATTTAGCAATTTCGGAACAAACTTCGCTGACACACGTCTCATGCCCAAAACGTTAGAAAAAATTTCATGGCACGAGCCAAGCGATATACCAACATCCTCAGCAACTTCTCTGATAGTGATTCGACGATTTTCCAGAACAATTTTCTTCACTGCTTGAACGTTTTCATCAGTTGTTGACGTGCTTGGGCGTCCAGAGCGAGACTCGTCATTGGCATCTTCCCGGCTATCTTAGAAGAGTTTGTACCACTTGTAAACATTTTTTTTACTCAGAACAGTTTCACCGTATGTCACCGTCAATATTTCAAGTGTTTCGGAGCACTTTATTTTATTTTTTACACAAAATTTGATGCAAATCCTTTGATCCATATTTTTCGATAGCAAGAAATCGCCAAGCACGCAAAACACTTATAACCTTTACGCCTCTCACAACCAAACAAAAAATGCTATACACTTGAAACTTGGTACAGATGTTTGGGGAGAGTGTACCAATATAACAAAACAAAAAAAATCGATAATCGAAAGTACGTTGCCCGTGAAATTTGAAAAGTCACCTTACGTTTTGAACACACCTCGTATATTCTAGTGTTAGGAGTATCTAAGTCATTACATAGTTGTTCTGGAGTTTTATTTTGATGTCATTTTAAATCAGTTATCTTTTTAATCGGTATTGGCTCTATAATAGTGTTGAAATCATAGAGGTAAATATTATAATTCGACTTGTTTACAGTTTTTTTAGAAAGACCCATCACATTTTCAATGCTAGTTTCATACAATCGCTTTTTTTCCTTTAAGTTTTACGGTTTTATGAATAAAACTTTTTTACAGTTTTATTTATAGACAGTCCTTCATTTGACATAATTTTTGCATAGGTTTTACAAAGATATTTAGCTCGTTCATGGATGGATGGAAGTTTTGATTCAGCTAATAGGATTCTAGTGGGGGTTGTTTTGCAATATCCAACTGCAAGTCTGACAGCATTGTATTGTATTCTTTTTAGTTTTTCCTGCTGCTCCTTGCGTTTTAGATAGAATACAAATATGCCGTATTCTAGTATAGATCTTACATAACTAATGTAGAGTGTTAGTAGTGTGGCCGGGTCTGCCTCCTACTAAATTCCTTGCAGATATTTTATTAAATTGGTTGCTTTAGCACATCGAGCTTTAACTTTATCTATTAGCGTTTTAAAGGAGAGTTTGTAATCAAAAATTATTTCAAGAAATTTGGTAGTTTCGCTGGATTTCATTATAATATCAATATTAATTGTAGTTTTGCCAAATGTCTTGATTGTTAAAATGGATGAATATAGTTTTTTTCGGGAGCGAAAAATAAGTCTATATCAGAAAGATTTATTTTTATCTGATTTACAGCTTTTTGCAGAGATTTTAAAATATTTTAGTACAGCGCTATGTCATTTGTGAATTGAGATATTGAAACTTGGTTTGATATATTTCTGACAATATCGAATACAAAAATTATGTATAGGAGCGGTCTTGGCACTCCTCCTTGCGGGACGCCTTTATATGTTATTTTAGATTTTTTAAGTTCTTCAGCATATACTAGCTTTTCGAATGTGATAAACTTTATAAATCTGAATAACATTATTAGGCATCCCATTTTCGCAAGTTTCTCAAGTAATATTTTTATATTTACATTATCAAACGCCCTTTTTACATCGAGGAATATCGCGTACAAGTTTTTTTTTGCGTCAGGCTGTTTCAGTCGTAATCGTTAGATTTAGTAAATTATCTGCACATGATTGGCCTTTTCGAAAGCCACTTTCGCTATTGGGAAGAATATTTTCTGTCTCGATCCATCACTGTAGTTTATTTTTTATTATAGTTTTGAACAGTTTACATAAACCAGAGGTAAGTGCGATGGGCCTATAACCTTTGTTATTCGGTTTCGGTATAAAATAAACATGTAATTTTTTCCAATCAGTGGGGAAGTCGCTATTATATATATATAAGAAATAATTTATTATAAAAAGAGACTTATCGAGGTTGATATATATAGTTTTAGTACTGTGATGTGTATAGAGATCGGATAACTTAACATGACTATTTTATAGTTTTTAAAAACTACGACGAACCATAATAATTTTAAAAACACTCTGTGACCTTCGATGTTAAGGAAAATTTTTTAAACCAATTCAATGTTAATATAGTATAGTAAAGAAATTGTGTATATTTTGAAATTTTTTTTTTAGCAAATCCAATGTTAATTTTCACAGTACTAAAGTAAAAATAAATGATGTATTTAAAAATTGAAAATGTATAAAATTATCATGAATTTAAAAATAACTTTGTAACAAAACTATTAAAATAATATAAATTTTAATATTTATCTTTATTAATATAAAGTATATAATTATTAATAACAATAATGTATCATAAGATCATCATACACTATTTAAAATAAAAATCTATGTAAATCGCTATTTTTGAATTAAGCATTCTTAAATAAATGTTCTGCAAAATTTATGCTATTTACTTTTAATCCATGTCGTATTACTCAAAGCAATCACTTTTATATTGTGCCTTAATATATTTTTCTGCTAAAAATTATTATTTATTTTCATGAGAAATCAATAATATGCAATATAGTTAATTTTTTATATGTCGATATCGCCCAATTTTTAGACAATAAAAAAGCTGTTTTTTTAAATTTTCAATTGTTAATAATTTGGAATTCAAATAAACAAACACCCTTTCAGCAATAGAAAAACGTTTTATTAGCACTAAACTTGATGCATACCGAGGAAAGATACATTAGAATATTTGTAGATAAATATGTGAACTGGAATCAGATCTTCCTTCAGTAAACGTACTGGTTTCAGCAAGCCACGGCCGAGACAGTCGCAGCCGCGCTCATGAGGGAGTGGATCGCTTTTTTCGGCTGTCCTCTAACGGTTACATCAGACCAAGGCATTCAATTTGAGTCTGCGTTTTTCAACGCCATGGTCCAGATGACGGGGACCAAGAAGATCCATACGACTCCTTACCACCCACAGAGCAATGGCTTAGTCGAGTGCCTACACCGGACTCTAAAGGCTGCGCTCATGTACGACGGTTCTGCCCCATGGCCTGATCGTCTGCCCCTGGTCCTGCTCGGCCTCCACGCCTGCTACAAGGAGGACCTTGAAGCCTCGCCAGCAGAGCTTCTCTTTGGCACCACGCTCCGTATTCCAGGAGAGTTTTTTGTAGAGCAGAGCTTTCCGGAAAATCCGCCAGCATTCGTCGCTAGGCTCAGAGCCGTCATGAGTCAGCTCCGAGCGGTTTCGGCCTCGAGGCACTCGATCTACCGCCCTTTTGTACACAAGGACCTCAAGGCTTGTTCTCACGTCTTCCAAAGGATTGACTTGGTGCGCAAACTTCTGCATCCGCCGTATACTCTGGCCCCCACGAAGTCGTATAGATGACAAAGTCTACGTCATCAAGGTAAACGGCCAAGAGAAGACGGTGTCCACTGACGCGTTGAAACCAGCTTATCTCGAAGAAGAGAACTTGGAGCCGCAACAACCATTGCCGCTGTCTCAACTGCTGCCTCCGCAAGCTCTCTCGCATCAGCGGCCTTTCGAACCCGAGCATCAAGAAGACGCTTCGCCGTCGTAGCAGCTAGGGGAGCCCCCTCGTTCGCTGCCCCAGGTTTCTCCGCCGACACAGGTTTCACCTCCGAGGTTTACGCCGAACATTCTGCGCAAAAGGGTATTGTTCCTTCCGTGCCCTACGGAAGTCTCTAGAGGGGGAGTACCTGTGGAGACTCAACCGTCTTCTCTCTCGGACACTAGTCGGCAGCACCAAATATTACGTCGCTCAAGGAAGCAGGCGCTCGAACCGCGCAACTGCGCTTCCGCCTCCCTCTCTCGAAAAAAGGTATTACCGCCGCGTTTTGCACGCATGCACGTTTGCTCTCGCCAACTCGCATCCTCTTAGTCATATATACTAGCTCAATAAAACGTTTATTGTTTAGTATCCGCCGAGATGTCTTATTTCAACCCGCTCACGCAATAAATCTCCAAAGCCCCGTGTTAGAAAGTCAAAACGGCCCAACATTGGCACAGCAACGTTAACCAAGACTGCCGGTACAGGCCGCTAGTGCTGGTCCAACGTCATCCGGGTAACGAAATGATAAGAATGGGCCAAGGTTATATTTTCAGTAGTGAGCCATTGCCGACGCATTGACCATGGCTCAGTACTGGTAACGCAATATTTGTTGTCATTGTCGGACAAGCACACTATCAAGCTAATAAATAAGAACGCATTTTTTAGCGTCAACGTTTTCTTTATTTATTATTGAATTATTTTACATACTACATACTCATGTAACTATTTATTTAAAATTTAATTACTAACATTTTCAAGATAAGTATTGTTTGGTCGAGTTGCCCGGCCTCGCGCGGCTCGAGCCCAGGCTCCCCCCTTCCTCTATTCCCCGACGAGGGGACAACGACGCGGACCCTGAAGTGGGGGCAAGACTGGAGCCCCCCCCCCCCCCTCGGATGACGCCACCGCCGTTGCCAAGCTCTGTTTTGCTTGGAGCTTTCGGCCAGCATTGACCTGCGTTCTCCACCGCCAGAAACATCATTTTTAACGCGACTTTGTAACCTCTGCCTGTTCTGTCACCCCAAGTAGTGGCCAATAAAGTATCTAAGTGAAAGGATCTTGTATCTGCGTCACCTCATTCCCGACGGGATTACCGCCTCAGCTCCCCGCGCCAGCGCCTTAACAAGTATGACGACTAACAAATTAGGTAACAACAATATTTATACAACATTTATGTTAATACTAAGAGGTCAAATTTAACGAACAATAGTATGTGCACTCAACCTAATTAAAGTAAACACATAGATAAAAAATGTCAATTATCTTATAAAATTTACCTCGAGCATCGATCATTACGTTTTTGGGATAAGTCAAGCGCATCAAGCTTTTTATAAAAATATTGCCATTGTCGCTACAGCTGCTGCTCGACGATGAACAGAGAATTTTCCTTTTCAAGGATCTTGATTTTTTGAGATATGAATAACTGTTCAGCATTGTGTGGTATAATGAAAGCTACTCGGAAAACACGATACTTATCATATATTTTAGGTTAAAATGTTATTATTAATATTCTTTATAAACATGCGCATCATGATTAACGATTAGTATTGGGCCAGCGCCGGAAAACAAATAATATTAAAATCGTTCAAAAATAGATTATTGGTACAGTATTGGCTGCCGGTGCTCGGACCATTCTTATCAATTCAATTTTGGCTCAAAGCCGGTCCAGTGCTTGACAAAACTAGGTTCGGTTGCCAGTGCTCCAACAGTATTGGGCCGTTTTTGCAGTCATGGCAATTCTTACACGGGGCGCGCTATCCACAGTTTGAAAAATAAAGTAGGCTCATCAGTCATTATGGAAATTGAAAATGATCATATATTACCATAACGGTTTTTGGATACTGCTATAAAGCGAGCGATCAAGTTATGATTTTAACCACGTGCAAATTTGTTTACTTAACCTCACAAATCTTAATATTAAGATTATTAAGTCGTTATCAAGTCATTTTTAATAATCTACAGTGTTTATTTCATAATGAAAAACTTTCTTTATGCAGACGTGAGTAATTATTATTTTATTACCAGTTTTATAACTTACACGTAAATCGTACTTTCACTTTTTTGTAAATCGTATTTAAATTAGAAGCGAGACAGTAAAAATAAGCAACAATTTTTAATATTACGTTTTATTTTTTTTCTATTTCCAATTTATTTATTTACAATCTGTCTGCTAACAATGAGTAAATTTTATTGTACAATTACAAAATTGGTTAGAAAAATATTTGATATAATTACATGAGGGTACTTCACCATTGTTCTGTATCAATATACTATTGCCGTGCTCCTTTAATTATGAATAAATGGCGTTTTGTACTTTTTAAATCTTGAGACTATTGGTGTTGTATGAATTAGTTCATTTGCTAGACGTAATGAATGTTCCATTATCCTACTGGTATATTTTTTACAAGTTGATTCTATTTCTTCTCTTACGGTCTTAATGTTGACATCCTTCCTTAAGTATTCATTTGTTACATACCACGGTGCATCAGTGATGTATCTTATTGTTTTATTTTGAAATCTTTCTATGATATCGATGTTAAACTTCGTGGTTGTGCCCCACAGTTATATACCGTATGTCCATACTGGTTTAATTATGGATTTGTATACTAGTAATTTGTTTTTGATTGACAGTTTGGATTTTCTTCCTAGTAACCAGTAAAATTTCCTCGTTTGTAGATTGATTTGTTTTCGTTTGGTCCAGATATGGTCTCTCCAGATAAATCTTCGATCCAGGTGCATTCCAAGATATTTATCTTTTTCTCTTTGTGGAATTGGATGATTATTTCTGTATACCGATGGACAGTATCCTTTCTTTTTTGTATAAGTTACTTGAATTGATTTAGTTTCATTTATCATTACCATTTTAAATGGCGAATTATATGATTTATTTCTTTAGTTTTAATGCTCTTATGTGTGTAATTATTTATATTATTATTTTGAATGTTATTTAATAAATTTTGTTCTTCATCTATTGTTATTTTACGTTGCGGTGGGTTGAATACGTTTTCTAAATGTTTAGAAAAAATATTAGCTTTATCGATATCTGTTTTAGCCCATGTCACGTCATTTTTTAAAATAGGAGGAGAGAAGCTTTGCGGTTGGTTTATTTTTGTTGTTGCTTTCCAAAGTGAATAATCAGTTGCCTCGGTTGCAGTTAGGTTCGTTAAGTAGTTATTTATATTGTCATTTTTTTCGTCGTAGAGAATTTGTTTAAGTTATTTGATTGATCGATTATATTTCGATGTATCTATTTGTAATCTAGTTTGCTGCCAAATTTTTCTTAATCTTCTTTTTTCTTTAATTTTGTTAGATTCAGCTTTAGAGTTGGTTAAATTTGTTTTTTTATTTATTGGGTATATTGGAGTCGCGTTTTTAACAGTATTATAAATAATATTATTGACATTTTCAATTGCAATATCAATATCTTGTTTTGTTTTTAGTGGTATGTTACACGGAAGCTTTTCATTTAATATTTCTCTGTATAAATTCCAATCTGTTTTTTCATTGTATAAGGGGCTGTTTTTCTTTAAGTTTAATTTTATTTTTGAGGCAAAATTAATAATAATTGGGGAGTGATCTGAAGTTAATTCGAGACATGATTTAGCTGTTATATTTTTAGAACATAAGCCTTTTATAATTGCAAAATCTATTAAGTCCTGTTGATATTGGCGTTAAATTTTCTGTTTTCATCACTGTGTATAGAATTGTTCCTTTTGGATTCGGCGTTATCAATCTAGACGCCCACCATGGATGTTGAGCGTTGTAGTCGCCTCCTGCAAGAAAGCGATTTCCCAGGCTATCAAAATATTTTTTGTATTGTTCCTTGGTTATCTTATGTTTTGGAGGGCAATACAATGCTGAAACTATTATTTGACCGTACTTGTCTATGATTGCGATGTTGGTTGCTTGTAGACAATCATATTTATATGGTTCAATTTCGTGATGTTTAATAGTATTTTTAATTAGTATAGCCGTTCCTCCATGTGCTTTGCCGTCTGGATGATTTGTAGTATATAACATATATCGTGGTATTTTTAGAAAATTTTTATCGGTGAAATGTGTTTCAGATATTAGCATTATATCTATATTGTTTTCTATGAGAAAAGGTTTTAATTCCATACTTTGCGCTAAACCGTTAGCGTTCCATATTGCTAATTTTATTCCTGTATTCATTTAATCTTGTTTATGAGCGTTGTAAGCAGATTAGACATCGTGTCCATTCTGTTCATTAGTTGAGTCATCATGTTTACCAGTTGACTGTCTGAGTTGTTTACGTTTGATTGAGGTAGCTGTGTTTGATTGGGTTCTTCACTTGGTATGAATACATTACCGCTAGTAGCCTGTGCATACGAAACATTTGATCTAACGGTATTTTCTTCTTTCGATATTGCAAACTGTTTTGGCCTTAATGCTGGAAAAATTTTTTGTTGCAGGAGTTTTCTTGCACTGCATCCTTTGTAGCTAGCAACATGGTTCCCCCGCAGTTTGCACATTTCACATCTCTAATTTTGTGTTAGATGGGACAATCTGATGTTAAATGATTATTAGCGCATTTTACGCAGACTGGTATTCTGTGGCAATAATTTTTAGTGTGGCCAAATTCTTGGCAATGCATATACTGAGGAATTTCTCTTTTCTTTCGCGGAGGCTCAAAACTAATTATTTGTTGCATTAATTTATCGATTTTATATATTTCTTTGTTATTTTCTTTCATTTTAATTTCTATGAAAAATATTGGTAACGGTTGTTTTGAGATTTTATGTTTAATGTTTATTTTTTTCATCACTTCATGATTATATGATTCTATTTCATTTTTTAATTCATCTAAATTGAGCGATGGGTGTATATTTTTTAAAACCGTTTTATATGGTTTATTTTCTTTTTGTTGGAAAGTATAAAAATCAGTGTTTTTTTTTCTCTAGTTCCGATATAATTGGGGAAAAATGTTCCGGATTATTTAATTGAATTTTTAATTCATTATTTTTAAGAACTTTCAATATATATTCATT